TAGGATGGAGCGGAGCAACTGCTTGACAATCCATATCAGCCACGAACTTTGATAAGATGACCTCGCGATCACTTCTCTCTATAAACAGAAGAAGCGTTATTTGACTGGCATAACCATGTGTGATGACTAGGTCCAAAAGAGACGAGGAGGTTTGTAGGTCATATATAACGGGATCTCTAATATCCTGAAATAAAGCCTGAGCGATTGTGACTGTGTGAGTTTGTAGATGGCGTCGAGTCCCGATTGACTATGATCACCACTACAATAAGATTACGCGCCAGATAACGATATGCCAAAAACCAATAGGCTGTAGTTGGTCCAGATAAGATCTCGTGGTATCGAAAGAATACCGAGACGTGCCAAAGAGTACAAGCAAAATAGCAGAGCGTAAGAGAGTTCACACGAAGAAGATGGACAATGGAACGAAAAGTGATTTTGATACAGTTAAACAAACAAGTACAGTATGACAATCAATGGTACAAATGGTTACAACAATATTTGTTTCTATTATACCAATCGCGTTCTCGTCGTAAAAATAAGTCACTACAAATTCGTTATCAAACGATGTTTTTAAGTAATATGTGTGAAATTTCTATTGGGTTTCTTTGGGCAACAGAAGCAGAGCAACTTTTAAAGGGCGGCTTAAATGAGTACTTTTGGAATCCAATTTTTGTCCTGTTCTATATAGCTTATGAGTGCAAACTCCTGCTACTGTTTCTGAAAGTAGCTTACTCATGAAAAGATATTGTAAGAAGTTCTTTGTGACCTCTGAAATTGTCTTCGAGTCGGTCTTCAGTCTTCAGTCTTCAGTAATAAGGATAGAAGGTCTAGTGACCTATTTTAATCCTTGCAGTTTGTTACACTGTGGAGGTCCAATCTCGTCTTGAATATATCAACAGAAGGTGCTGATATTACGTGTTCTGGTAGAGAATTCCAGTAATTCACTACTCGGTGCGAGAAACGAAACTCCAGACGTAGACGATTTGATCTCGGTTTTTGGACTTTCTTTGAATGTCCTCTCAAATGATCAGCCCTAGACGGGAGGAAAAGATAGGACATGTTAGTACCAAGGTCATCGTTCAGGATACGATATGCCAATATTAGATCACCCCGTATTCGCCGGTAAGATAACGGAAATAAGTTGAGGTGTCTCAGTCTGTCTTCATAAGATAGGCTAGATAAGCCTTTTACCATTTTTGTCCCGCGGCGTTGGACTCGTTCCAGCATATCCGCCTCATATTTGAAACAAGGACTCGCTGCTTGAATCCCATATTCCAAATGTGGCCGTACGAAAGTTGAATATAATAATCTAAACATTTCCCCATCCAGACACCGGAAAGATCTACGAATAGACCATAATACCTTATAGCCTTTTGCAGCAGCAGCCTTACAGTGGCTGGTTGTTTTGAGATGATTGCTTAGTATGACTCCTAAATCTTTATAGTTTCTTACTTTGGGCAACACTAGTCCACATATTGTGTATTGATACGAATCATCGTAGTTATTTAATTGCATCACAACACTTTTATTAGGGTTTACTTCTAGTGACCACCCATTCATCCATGCAACTAGTGAGTTAAGATCTTCCTGTAAAACTATTCTGTCTGACATACTATATATGGGTCTCCCGATCTTAATGTCATTGGCGAATAGTAGGACGGATGACTTAGCTATAGCTGGTAATTCATTTATATAAAGTAAAAAGAGAAGAGGACCTAAAATCGTGCCTTGAGGGACGCCACTTTTTACTGGTTCCCACGATGAGAGAGCCCCATTTACTCTTACCCGTTGTCTCCTTTCATGAAGAAAGTCACTTAGCCAGTCTATGACTGCATAATGAATTCCAAAAATTTCTAGTTTCAATTTAAGACCAGAATGGGAAACCTTATCAAAGGCTTTACTTAGATCTATGAAAATGACATCTACAGGAATATTGCGATCTTTTGCCTCAGCCCAATCTTCTCTTGCAATGAGAAGATTTGTCAAACATGATAGACCTTTTCGAAAACCATGTTGTTCCTTTTACAAAAGATCATGTCTTTCCACGTAGTTTATAACAGCCATCCTAATAATTTTTTCCATTAGTTTTACAACTGCACTAGTTAAGCTGACGGGTCGATAGTTACTAACTAAATCCCTACCCCAAGTCTTATACACCGGACTGATTATTGCGTCCTTCCAGTCTCTGGGCAATCTGGACTGCCGTAGGGACATATCGAACAGCATCGCTAAGAGTTCAGCAATAACATCTGAGAGGGCTTTCATAATCCGAGGATGAATATCATCAGGACCACTAGACTTATCAGATTTGAGATGCTGGAGTAGGCTTAAAACAGTTTCTTTCTTAATAACTACAGGGTCCATCAACAAGTCGCCACAATCACAATGAATGGGTGATCGTTCCTCATTATTGGTAGAAAAAACTTTACTGAAATATTCCGAAAAAGCTTCCGCTTTTTCGGTATCATTTCTTGCCAAACTTAACGGATTTTCTTGTATCAAAAGTGATGGTATTCCATCACTTCTCTGAGTTCGCCTCTTTATATACGAGAATAACCGTTTTGGACTATGTTTGCAATCCCTAACCAATTGTTTTTCGTATGACCGTCTAGTTCTACTAATTAACGCTTTACAATTATTTCTAATCTCACGATAACTAGATCTGTACTGTTCTAAGCCAGTAGAGATGAACATGTTCCAGTGTTTTTTTCTACGCCTAAGGAGTTTCTTAACTTCTTTATTTATCCACAGTGGACTATTGTTCGGTCTACGTGGCACCAAGTATGGTATAAACGGGGACGTGACTGCACTAGACTTGCCTTTAAATACAGACCACGCCTCATCAACTGATGAGCTAGTATCTACTGATCAATCTATCTTAGTAGCACAATCCTGAATTTCTGGTATGTTAGCTCTCCATATGTTTGGGCGAGGCTTAATCTGATCGTATATCATATCGCTAGCTCTAAACGTGAATGATAAAACAGCGTGATCGCTATTTACTAACGGGGGAAGAATATTTAGGTTGGCAATATCCTCAGTCTCATGGGTAATTACCAAGTCCAATAGAGAAGAACCTTGGTTTACACCAAAACGTGTAGGTTTGGATACATGTTGTACTAATGCATGTTCCATTACTGTTTCCAAGAGCCTGCTATCAAATGAGTTCATAGAGCATTTCGTGGTCATCTCAGTCCAACTAATGTCAGGTGCATTAAAGTCTCCTAATATCAAGCATCTGTTATTTGCACTCCATAGCCGAATGTGCTCTAAAATAAAGTCATCAGCTAAGCAGATTGGGCTGCGATAGATGACACCGAGTGCAAATGTACAACATCCGACAGTGAGTTCACAGCTAATGACTTCACTAGTTCCACTATCATGGGATTCGCAAACGTAGGAGCGGATATTTATGCTATTGGCTATGTATAGAAGGACGCCACCTCCTTTCCTGCATCTATGTCTATCACTTCTTAAACAATGATATCCGGATAATTCTGGGGTGATATCGAAGTCATGGACTAACCAAGTTTCCGTCACAGCTACAATGAGTGGCCTTAATTTGTCCACTAATGTTCCTAGCTCGTAGAATTTATGTTTTAGACTACGGGCGTCAGCATATAAAACTCCTAGGGGGAACGACCTATCCACACAGGCCTTGGTAGCATTCGCTTCCAAGACCTGACTATTCGAAAACCCACCAATCGGAGATTTTCCTCACCGTTTTGTCGACGGGTTTCTAGTTCAGCTAGTGCCGTCTTCCTTTTTATTCTATCTTCAAGAGACACATCCGGTCGCATTCGAATGTCAGAGTTGTCGTAACTTCGAGCGTTACTTAACAGAAGATTACGTTGTTTCTCCGACCCTAAGATTACCTTAAGGAGTCTACACGGTCGGGATCTGGATCGTTAGTCTCTGGCAATTTACTCACAATAATATTCAATGATATTAAATTCCTCTCAGTCGCACTAGGATGATGATCTGCCGTTCTATCAGAGTGCGATAATGCATTGAGTGACTCAGACTGTGAGTTCCTCAATGGCTTGTCAACCAAGTGTGCTCTATCATTAGCTTTTTTTCCCTTTCCTTTTCCTCTTTACTGCGGTCCATTTTTGGTCATTCAGGGCAGCTGCATTGGGACTATTGGGGACGGTGACGGTTTTATCCGGGTCCTCAGTTTCTACTAAAGATACATGATTACTCATGTCAATACCATGTGGTGATTTACTCCTCGTTTGTTGTAACGGATGTTTCACTTCGTCATTAATTAGAGTAGGTTGTTCAGCCCGTTTTGTAACAGCACTTACAACACTGACACAGTCTTCACTGTCAGTGCTTGCGTTACTAGCGCACCCACTATCTTTCTTTTTACAGGCTAGAGCCAATAGGCTCATAGCCTCTTGAATTAATGTCGTCTTGTTAGTACAGCAGAACATACAAAGCCAGTGCGAGTTAGGCTTAGAACATCTTTTGTATGCAGCTGGACTGAGACGGGTACACATCTTGTGGTACCATTTTTTGCATTCATCGCACTGCATCCCTTCATCTACGGGGAATAAACAGTTCGGCTGTCCACATTTGAATGAACTATCAACCATTGTAATCAGATTAGGTTTAAAAAACAATATGATCACAATAATAGCACAAGCATCAGAGTATATGCAAAAGAAGGAACCACGAGACAAAGTTTTCAATAAAATTTCAAACCTTAACTGGATTAATTCAAGTTAAAGTAGACCAAGAATGCTTTTGATACAGCAAATACACAAAAGCAGCGATAATCACAACAAGTATGAAAGTCACTGCCCTTTTTGAAACGCGCGCAAAATGTCGCGTATGTTTTTAAACTTAAGTCTAATGTAATCGGAGTTTTGTTTGTAACCCGTTTTGTTTTAACTATTTATACCTTCGCCTTGTCTCGAATCCAAGGCCAAGTCAGTTATCGTTTGTCGTTTCGCAGATTTTGAAGACTGCGCGTCAGACGTCTGATATCGCGCACCATGTCTTTTAGACGTGTTTCGGTTATTGGGTCAGGCAACTGGGGGTCAACAATTGCTAAAATAATTGGTAACAATATTAAAAAGTTCCCCGAATATGTTCCAGAGGTACTATCAATGATTTTTTGTTAGTATATTTTCAGGTTCGTATGTGGGTTTTTGAGGAGTTAGTCAATGGCCGTAAACTCACAGAAATAATTAATACATCTCACGAAAATGTGAAGTATCTGCCCAATGTGAAGCTTCCAGAAAACGTTGTTGCTGACCCAGACGTAAAATCAGTAGCTCGAGATGCTGACGTACTTGTCATTGTTATGCCCCATCAGTTCCTTAATAAGACATTGGCGGAAATGAAGCCTGTTGTCAAACCAACGTCTTATGCCATTTCTTTAATGAAGGTAATTTAGACGTCTATATGTATTGTGTTTCACTATACACCAAGTTATGTAAGATGACGTTCACTTCAGTCTAGAATTGTTTAATTTACTTGGTATAATAAACTCACGTAAACAAAGCTTTATCTGGCAAAACCGTCCTGGTGGTATTAATAATGAGCTTCTGTGACTGTCGCGTATTCTCAAACAGTTTTTATTCGATTTTCCGCTTTTCTTGAGGAAGTTGATTTTATTGGTCGACGTGGGTTTTTGAGCAATTAAATGAAACACGCTAACTCCCAAAATTATTATTCAATGTACGCAATGTCAATACGAAGTCATCTCGCGTTCCGCAGTAACATAGAGAAAGTTTCAAACGTCTTAATCACTTGTCACAGGCGAGTTTGGTAAACATGTTACTTTTGTGGTTCCCAGTTCCAACACTCTTGAGTGTGTTAGACATAAAATGACTGGTTGAATGCAAAGTCGAAGGTGGGATCATATGTATCTGGTTTATAAAATCCGAAAACTAATTTGCATAGGCATTTAAAAAGTCGACAAAGAAATCGGAATACTCTAGGACGTTTTGCGGCCGCCGCATTGTAGTCCGCAGTTTTTTTCATGTGACTGAACAGTACTCCTAGGTCTTTTTGTCCATGCACTGGTGAAAGTAGTATTCCCCTAATAGTACATTGGCGACCATTGTCTCATCCAATGTGCATTAGATCACTCTAGAACGGAAACAAATTTTTTTTGCATAGTTAAAAGCGTGAGTCAATTGAAGCTAGATCACCATGAGAAACCTGGAAATACTAGACGGCCGTTTCAATTGACTCACGCTTTCAACTGAAAAAAAACTAAATCTCCACAAAACTCCTGATAATTGATGGAAACACAAATCTCAAAAACACCTAATTAATTAATCGATGTCTGCGTTTAAATCAAGGTGGTCAGCGTCACTACTCATTGTTCTACAAACTTTACCATTAGCTTCAAACAAGTGTTGGTGACTTTAGCAGTCTCGGTGAGCTTTTTTCGCTTTCCATCACATTGTGTTTCTGCATCCCCACATTTTCCAATGGATTCAATTCCACTAGTTGTGAAACTGAATACTATTGGTAAAGTTAATAAGATAGTATGCCTACAGCCTCATGGCTCTTCGTCACCTATTGGTAAATGTTCTAACTACCTCAAATTTCATGTAGTTGACATCATGTGATAACTACTTTCTGAATCGCTACATTCCACGTTCTGATGTTGTAGAATCCTGAACAAATAAGTCATGAGTTCAGTTAGTATAATTTCAAGGTTTGGTTGCTGCTTTCACGTCAGATATAGGTTACGTAACAGTGTTCTTTTGAAATAGTAACCATATAATCCTCTTGTATAATCTGATTATGTACATAGTGAACATCCAGATTCAATTCTTTTTTGTAATTATTGTTTGATCAGGGGTTGGCACTGAGTGATGATCATGGTATCAAGCTATTAACAGATTGTATCAGAGATGTACTGAAAATACCCTGTGCAGTCCTTATGGGTGCTAATTTGGCAACTGAAGTTTCTCAAGAAAACTACTGTGAAGCAACTATTGGTATCGATGATCCGAAGATGGGGTCTGAATTAAAAAAACTTTTCCAGGTATGTAATACTTATGGTTATTTACAGGTCTGACGTATTCATGTAGTTTGTTTACTCAGTGATTTTGTTCCATAATGCCCACTAGTCTTAGTTGATTTGTTCAGAGAGATTATTCTGAGATACTACTTCCCTTCGTTTGATTTTGTCAGAATAAACTTTTGTTACCCTGGCTTATAGTTTAGTCTTGAAATATTCTTCAATATTCTAGTAGCTCAGGTCACAGGACGCAAGTCATTTTATCGAAGGTACTTTATTTTTTTTGTCTTTCTGTCATGTCAATATGTTTCGCTAACGCTCTTTATGGATAATTTTGTATTCTGAGCAATAAACTGCTTACTATTATAAAATCGAGAAAATTAGTACCCCACCTTAAAATCAGTCCCAATATCTTGAATGTTTAATCAAATAATCCACTATCCTATCTTTACGTTGATGTGATTTGGTATTTTGAAATTATTTGTACTTTTCAGACAGATTACTTCCGAATTGTGGTTATAAAAGACGAAGTTGCCACAGAATTATGTGGAGCTTTAAAAAACATTGTAGCAGTTGCTGCAGGTGTGATTGAAGGTTTAGGTTATGGTGATAACACTAAAGCTGCAGTTATACGTCTTGGGTTCATGGAAATGAAAAATTTCATTTATCAATTTTTTGCTGATCGCCGTAAGTGTTTCACTTTACTATCCGCATAATATACCGTATTCATATTTTCGATTTTGAATTCCTGAAATTTTCTACAAGTTAATTGATTTATAAGGAAATCACAGCAAAAGACACTAAATAAGTTATCTGAAAACAAAATTTAGGTTTAACTAAGGTACTTTCTGATCTGTTGTAACGAGTGGCATGTGTATGTTAATTGTCATAATTAGTAACTATTTACGACACTTCTTTAGTTCTCTTAGGACCATTACATGATTGTTATAATTTGTTTATTTGAACGGTTTTTAATTCTTTTGATATAGTTGGACAGTGATGTTTTATTGTAAGAATTTCGAACTCGTAATTTGACGAAACATACTCAACATAAAGCTGAAGATAGTAAAATAGTTTTTGTACATAAGCCTCAGTCAGTCATCTACAACAACTCCGCATGTAACTCTTCTAGGGCTACTGTCAGTCCCAAGCCCACACAAAGGAGGAGGGTTAGGCATGTGGCCAGCAGTCTCATCTCGTAGAAAAAAACTTGCTGAGAAAACGCCAACCAGACTCAACAAATTAGACCACTTAAACTCTGCACTGGGAGTTGAAGAAATAATTATATTGCTTCATGGTGAAGTCTGATATTCTTCGAAAGTCACGAAGTCGATGCTCCTTCTAACGACTAGTCGGAATGAACAATACCAGATATTATGATATCATGGGACGACGTAGACTAGAAGGAAGGAACGAAAATTGTTAGATTTGAAAACCTATGTGCATTCAACAAATTGGCTGTAGGAGGCACAACATTCCCACACAAACAAATGAATGAAATTATGAACTCTATTGACGATATCCCTGGTCATACTAAAAGCAAGACAATTAACATTATTATTATTATTACCTTTATTATTATTATTACTTACCATATCGCTAATTCACCCCCTTTTATCCCCAATTTGTGTAACCTTACTCTTCAACTTATGCAGCAGCTCGCTCTTGGTGGAAAATCTGTCCTATCTAAACGATCTCCAGTCACTGTCTGGTTGAAAGTGAATGCTTCCACCGATTATGAATACTGAGGCAGTCTTTCTGAAACCACGTACGCCGTTCAAGCTGGCTTCCTTCAACGTTCGCACACTAATGCAGATCAGACAACAGATAGGGCTGGCTATGTCTTTGGAAGGTCTTAATGTTGACGTTTGTTGTCTATCCGAGACCCGTATTCAAGACTCTAGTGAAGTACTACAAATCCGCTCTCCATCTGTCGCCTCGAAAAGCTTGTTCCACGTGCGCTTATCCGGGGACCCTGTGGCATCTTCGTCTGGTCTTGCTGGCGTTGGTGTCGCACTAAGCGCTAGAGCTGAGGCAGCACTAATCGATTGGATCCCCATTAACAGTCGGTTATGTGCTGTTAGATTAGAAAGTTCCATCAAAGTGAGAAGAAACCGGCGTGAGAAACGGTGTCTTTTCGTCATCTCCGCCTATGCCCCGACAGATTGCAGCCCGGATGCAATCAAGGATGAGTTTTACCATCAGTTAACAGTTCTTCTCCAGAAAGCGCGTTCGACAGATATTTTAGTACTAGCCGGAGACTTGAATGCACAGGTCGGGCGTCTAGGCACAGAAGAGAGTCGTTTAGGTGGCCGATGGGGACTTGTTGGTCGCAGGACAGATAACGGGGACCGTTTGCTGCAACTGTGCACAGACCACAACCTGTTTCTGGCCAGCACCAACTTCCGGCACAGTCATCGCCGGTGTGCCACCTGGCGTCCTCCCTCTGCATCCCAAGCCTGGACTCAGATTGATCACATCGCGATCAGCTACCGCTGGCGTGGTTGTGTACAAGACTGCCGCTCCTTTTGGAGTACCTATCTGGAGTCTGATCATGCCCTGGTCTGCGCCAATCTCACCTTACTTTTCAGTGGCTGAAGGATTGACCACCACCAACGGATTGTTATTAGTAAACTGGCTGCAACTTCTGTTGCAAGTAAGTATCGAGCTGAGTTAGCCTCTAGGCTAGCTACCACCCCACCGAAAAGTATAGACGAGCATTGGTTGCATCTTCACGACGCCATGAAAATGGTGAGTAAAGCCGCTTGCGGCTTCGCGAAACGTCCCGCTTACAAGCACTGGGTCTCTTCTGGCTCCTTACAACTGATGGAAGCCCGTCGGTCTACTCCGGGTGACCGTGAGTTTGACCACAAACGAAGGCTGTTACGTAATGAAATCGGGCAAAGCTTGTGTAAGGACCGGGAAGCCTGGTGGTCGGAGCGTGCTAATGAGATGAAAGCAGCAGCTGCATCTGGTAACTGCCGGAAGCTCTTCCAACTCATCCGAGCCACTGGCAGCAAGAAGTCTGGTGTGAGTGAAACAATCTACGAGGATGACGGGATGCCAATCACTAACATCTGTCGACGTCTTGGACGATGGGCGAAATTTTTCGAAGGGCAGTTCAACTGGCCTGCTGCTCCGGCAACATCAACCAGCTTGTCCTGCTCCCCATGGCCGGTGACGACTGATCCACCAAACGAGGCGGAAGTCCGCAAGGAACTCCAACTCTTGAAACGTTACAAATCACCTGGCCCAGATGACTTACCTCCAGCTCTTTTTAAAGATGGTGGTGACTTTCTGGCTAAGGAACTGACTGCGTTGTTTGGAAAGGTTTGGGAGCAAGAAAGTGTTCCAACATTTTGGAATGAGTCAATAGTCGTCCCTATCTTTAAAAAGGGTTCACGTTGTTCCTGTAGCAACTATCGGGGGATAAGTCTACTTTCGATCGCGTCCAAACTATTGGCTTCTATCATTCTTCGTAGGTTGTTTAAAACCCGAGAACGATTGACTCGCGAGGAGCAGGCTGGTTTTCGTTCTGGTCGAGGATGCATTGATCACATCTTCACCCTCCGCCAAATGTTAGAACACCGTCATACTTATCGCAGGCCAACAATCGTAGTGTTTCTTGATATCAGGGCTGCCTTCGATTCGTTGGACAGGACTGTTCTCTGGGATTGTCTATTGAAGAAGGGTGTGCCTGAGAAGTTCATTAACATCTTAAAGGCCCTGTATACGAACACCTCAGGCAGAGTGAGGGCATACAACCACCTTTCTCCCTTGTTCCATTCGAGCAGTGGGGTTAGGCAGGGTTGCCCGATCTCACCATTCCTCTTCAACTTTGCCATCGACGACATCCTAGAAACAGCTCTGATGGATGTAAGTAATGGCGGTGTGGATATGTTGCCTGGAGAACGACTTCTCGACCTTGAGTATGCGGATGATATTGTCTTACTGTGCGATAATGCCCAAGGCATGCAATCAGCACTTAATCAGTTGGCAATCAGTGTTCGCAGGTACGGCATGTGCTTTGCACCCTCCAAGTGCAAAGTACTCCTACAAGACTGGCAGGATTCTCATCCTGTACTCACCCTGGATGGTGAGGAGATCGAAGTAGTTGAGAAGTTCGTGTATCTAGGTAGCTATATAAGTGCTGGTGGTGACGTGAGTGATGAGATTGATGCACGTATAATGAAAGCCAGAGCGGCTTATGCCAATCTGGGCCATCTTTGGCGCCTTCGTGATGTTAGTCTGGCTGTAAAAGGTCGGATCTACAACGCGTCGGTAAGAACAGTTTTGCTCTATGCTTGTGAAACCTGGCCTCTCCGAGTTGAGGATGTTAGACGTCTCTCTGTGTTCGATCATCGTTGTCTCCGAAGGATTGCTGACATCCAGTGGCAACACCATGTTAGTAATGCAGAGGTTCGGCATCGTGTGTTCGGACACAGAGACGATAATTCAATTGGTGTCACCATCTTGAAACACCGACTTCGGTGGCTTGGACATGTTTTACGAATGTCGTCCCAGAGACTTCCGCGTCGTGCATTATTTGCCGACCCTGGGACTGGTTGGAGAAAGCGGAGAGGAGGTCAGTGTATGACATGGTGTCGTGGCATGAAAGAAAGCTGCAAAGGGCTAGCTTTTGTTGGTCCTTCACGACTCCCTGGTTGGGGTCCGAGAGATAGTGCAACACAGTGGCTAGAGACGTTATCGGATATGGCTCAGAATAGAAGCCAGTGGCGATCCTGCTGCAACCTTCTTTTACTTTCTACATAAAGAATGGTTCTAACTTTCCTAACTGAAAGAGTCTTCTGGTTGTACATTTCAGCCCGCCTTATCTTTTCATCCTTTATCTACCTACTTTCATTATTTTGTGTGGCGCATATGTACCTGGTGCCCTTTTGTACCAATATATATGTGTTTAAATAAATAAATAAATAAATAACATATAAAGCTACATAGGCCTATCTCACCGGACCACACCACAGTGAACCAGACATCTTATTTGTGTCAATAAAAAACCGAAATGACAATAGAAAAGACATGAGAACCAAAAGAGGAGCTGACATAGCTTCAGATCCCCACCTGGTTTTGGCCAAGATGAACCTGGAGCTAAAGAAACAGTGAACAACTAGGGAAACGGCTCAATACAGCCTTCCTATGAGATGCTAACAAACTCGACGAATTCGAGATAACTCAACAACATGTTCCAAGTCTTACAGGATCTACTAAAAGATAAAGAAACTACGATAAAGGATAATTGAAAAGGGACCAAAAAAGCATTAACTTCAACGTGTCATGGCCATAGGATGCATCATCATAAGGAATGAATCTCTATGGAAACCCTGGATATGATGCAAGAGAGGAAGAACGAGAAGACAGCAATTAACAACAGCCTAACAAGAAAAGAAAAAGTCAAGTCGCAAACTGAATACACAGAAGCGAAAAAAAAGTGAAGAGAAACATTAGAACTGACAAGCAGAAATACATGGTAGACCTATCAGTGACATTGGAAAAAGCTGCAAAAGAAGGGAATATGAAACAGCTATATGACACGACAAAGAAACGCACGGTAATGTATTAAACCAAGGAGACCAGTCAAGAACAATCACTGAAATTTAAAAACAGAGAAACAGATGGGTGGAACACTTCGGGGAACTCATAGGAAGACCAGCCTCACTGAGCACCCT